GCTGACGGGTTTTTGGGAAGGGGCCTGCCCCGCTGCTTGCCTTGGACCTCGCAGCCCTCGTGTTAACGTTGTTTTGGCTTGTTCTTTTCTTGTGCCTTTTGTTTTGTCTCCCTCCTCCTCCTGCTCCTCTCAGGAGGTTGGAGGGAGAGAGGCCAGAGAGCCTCCAGGAATGTTCTTGCTTTCCCTATTTTTCATTCTTTCTCTCTGTCTTGGCCTGATTTGATCCCTTCTTTTCCATGATCCGTACGCCTGCTCAGAAAACCAGCTGCTGAGTGAAAACCAGTTTCCAAGCCCACAATGTGTCCCTGAAGGGCTGACCATGTCCCCAACTTCTCTCCTGTCTTCCCATGGGAATCTGGAGGACCCTTCCACCTCCTGCTCTGGCCAAGCCCTGACATGCTGGTGGCTCAGTGCTGGCTCAGGAAGGGTGGACACCAAGGGAGCTCATCTCACTGTCTCCTGGAGATCCCTCCCTTTGGAATTCCAGCCCACAGGAGACACCCAGCAGAGCACAGTCGTTGCACTTTAGAGCAGTGAATCCCAGGCAGGCAGAGGCAGTGAGAGGACGTTGTACCTGCTTGGAGAGACCCTTCCAGGCCTTCACAGAATCTTTTGGGTTGGAAAAGACCCTTAAGATCATCAAGTCCAACCATTCTCCCAGCACTGCCAAGGACAGCACCAAACCACGTTTCCTGGCTCCACACCTACACATCCTAAATCCCTCCAGGTTCCTGTGAGGGTCCTCACAAACTCAAAGCTCTCTGAGCTGTTACAGGGTGTCAGCTTTGTTTTTCTCCCGTGTCCTTGCTGACACTTCCCTTGGAAAAGACCACAGCTATGGAAATGCAAATTGAAATATCAGGGATCAGCTATACCAGGGAATTATGAGCCTCTCCTCATTTTCCTAAACGTTTTCCAGTCTCTGTGTTGTTGTGGCTGATCTTTCATTTAAGACCTCCCGTGTGACCTTGTGAAGTCACTGGATTGCCATTTCAGGGCCTGGGGAGAGAAAGGGAGAGGTAAAGCTGCAGGAGATGTCCCTTTTGTGGGCACCACACTGCTGGAAAGTGTCAGGGAGGAGACCCAGCACTTCTCTGGTGTCAACAAGCCTCCCTCCACATGCTCCTTGTTTACCAGTTTCTCCAGAACTTTGTCTTGCTGGAAAACCTGCTCCTTAACAGTGACTGAACTGAACTCTGACCAGCTCTCCATGTGAGGGGTGGGCTCAGCATCCTCCAAAAGGCAAGGACCTCATGGTGACCCCACCAGAGTGGCATCAGGGCTTTGACCACCCCTGAATACTCCCTGAGCTACGAGGCCTCCAAGCTCTGGAGCTCCCTGGTCCCCTGCGCCGCATCCATGAAGGTGCCACAGGGATTTGGGCTGCGGAGCAGAGCTTAAATCCCCAGCTCCCACCTCCAGCCTCATCTCCCCCTTACCCCCAGCGCTGGCTGTGTGTCAGCCAAGTGTTTTCCAGGAGCCTATGTAGCTTTTGGAAAAGTTTCCAGTGTAGGAGACGTGTTGGAAGGGCCGAACACTCATCTCACGAAAAGCCTCCTGATAGGGGAGAGGTGCCGGTGGCATCGGCCAGGAATTTTTCCTATGGAGCAGAGCAGGGCTGGGAGCAAGAAAAGGCATTAAAAAAAAACCAAACAAACCCAAAAGTATGGGTTGAATGAACCCAGAGCAGGCAGGACGTGGCCACAGAGATGTTATGCAAAGCACATCTGGAAGGAGTTACAAACAAGGCAGAGTCCAAACAAGTGCAAGACGTTACCACAGGGATGTCTGCGGGAGGGAGTGGCTTGGGAAAGGGGGAGAACCGGGAAGGTGGGATGAAGATGGAGCAGCTCTGAGGGTGCCCCCAGCCCTGTTGTTGTGTGGCCAATGCCCTTCAGAGCTGCTGTGTTTCTCTGCTTTTAGGGTGGTGCAAGGGAATCCACGTGCCTTTGGATGGTGCCTGCGGGAATGGTGAGGCAGAAATGGGTTTTGGAGGTGGTCACCACCCCAAAGAGCCTTGGTAGGGCTGCCTTCTCCTTCCCTGGTGGAGCCCAGAGCTGAGGGCAGAGCCTGTCCTGGTGCTGGAGGTGTGGGAGCACCGTGGGATTGCGCGTGATCCCTCCCCAGACACCCTGGAGCTGCTCCAGCTTTGCCCCCCTCAGTCCCCCACGTGAGGATTTTGGGGATCCCCAGCTCCTGGCTGAGGCTGGGGGATGTTGGGACGATGAAACCCACCCCTGGCTCGTCATCCAAGCAGAGCTGGGGGCAAAATAATGAAGGTTTACTTTATTTTGGGGGGGTATTTGGGACTGGTTGTGTCTCACAGATCCCATCCCAGGCCCTCAGGGGGCTCTGGGGGGCCCCTCTCCTAGAACTAAGTGTTCCTTGAACGCCCTTCCAGTGGGGAATCCCCATTTCCTCCAGAGAGTGTGAGAAAAGTCCAAAAATCCCGTTTTTAAATAAATTGATGTTATGCTACAGGACCCTAAATTAGGAGTTTATACCCCAAAAGCCTTGGGATCTTTTTATGGATTTGGGTGGGGGGAAAGGGGCTCCATGTACCTCAATTTCCCTCCTCCACCAGCACCCAGAGGTTGCTCCCAATAACCAAATGTGCCTAGTGGGGGATCTCCACTTCCTCCAAACAGTGGGAGAACACTCCAAAAATCGCATTTTTAAATAAATCAATGTTATGACACCCCAAATTAGGGGTTTAGACCCCAAAAAAGCCTTGGGGTGTTTTGGCTGTGTGCCTCAGTCGCCCCCATCACTGGGATCTGGAGGATGCTCCCAACAACCACAGATGCCTTAAACATCCCCCTTCACCTGTCTCTGGCAGTGGGGATCCCCATTTCCTCCAAAAATCACATTTTTAAATAAATGGACATTATGCCACAACACCCCAAACTGGGGGTTATGCTCTAAAAGGCTTTGGGGGTTTTTTTATCTTATTTGGGGGACAGAATGGGCTCTGTGTGCCTCAGCTTCCCTCCTCCAGCAGCACCCAGAGGATGCTCCCAATAATCAAATGTGCCTTAAACACCCTCTCAGTGGGGGATCCCCATTTCCTCCAGCAGCAGAACACTCCAAAAATCCTCGTCAATAAATTATTTTGTAAATAAATTATTTTGTAAATAAATTATTTTGTAAATAAATTATTTTATCCCTCCCACCAGTGGGATCCAGAGGATGCTCCCAATAGCCAAATGTGCCTTAAACACCACCCCCCAATCCGCCTCTGGCAGGGGGGATCCTTATTTCCTCCAAAAATCCCATTTTTAAATAAATCCATGTTATGCCATGATACCCCAAATTAGGGGGTTATGCCCCAAAAAGCCTTGGGGTGTTTTTATCGATTTTTTTTGGGGGAAAGGGGCTCTGTGTGCCTCAGTTTCCCTCTTCCAGCACCACCCAGAGGATGCTTCCAATAACCAAATGTGCCTTAAACACCCTCCCAGTGGGGATCCCAATTTCCTCCAAAAACCCCATTTTTAAATAAATCCACGTTATACCACGACACCCCAAACTGGGGGTTTTAACATAAATCCTCGCTATTCCTCAACACCCCAAACTGGGGATTTATGCCCCAAAAAGCCTTGGGGTGTTTTCATCAGGTTTGGGTGGGGGGCAGAGGCTCCATGTGCCTCAGTTTCCCTCCACCAGCAGGACCCAGAGGATGCTCCCAATAACCAAATGTACCTTAAACACCCCCCTGCCCAATCTATCTGTGGCAGGGGGGATCCCCATTTTCCCCAAAAACCTCAATTTTAAATAAATCCATGTTATGCCATGACACCCCAAATTAGGGGTTTATGCCCCAAAAAGCCTAGGGGTGTTTTTATCGATTTTTTCTGGGGGGCAGGGGCTCCACGTGCCTCAGTTTCCCTCCCCCAGCAGGACCCAGAGGATGCTCCCAATAACCAAATGTACCTTAAACACCCCCCTGCCCCATCTATCTGTGGCAGGGGGGATCCCCATTTCCTCCAAAAATCCCATTTTTAAATAAATCCATGTTGTGCCATGACACCCCAAATTAGGGGGTTATGCCCCAATAATCCTTGGGGTGTTTTTATCGATTTTTTCTGGGGGGAAAGGAGCTCTGTGTGCCTCAGTTTCCCTCCTCCACCAGCACCCAGAGGTTGCTCCCAATAACCAAATGTGCCTTAAACACCACCCCTCTCATCTATCTGTGGCAAGGGGGACATCCCCATTTCCCCCAAAACCGCCCCTTTTAAAATAAATCCACGTTATGCCACGACACCCCAAACTGGGGGTTTTAACATAAATCCTCGCTATCCCCCAACGCCCCAAATCGAGGTTTTACGCCCCAAAAAGCCTTGGGGTGTTTTTTTTAATTGAGTTTTGGGGGGGGGGGGAGCTCCGCGCGCCTCAGTTTCCCCGCCCCAGCGGGATCCAGAGGATGCTCCCCGGGGGATGCTGCGCTGCGGGGGCGACCCTAAGGGAGGGTTGGGGTGCGGGGAGAGGGGACACGGGGGTGTCCCGGTGGGGGTGGCGGTGGCTGCTGTCGCTTTAAAGGGGCAGCCTTGGCCCCAGCTGATGCGGCGGCTCCAATCAGCGGCCCCGGGGCTCTTGGCAGCCGGAGCCGCCGCCGCTCCGCATTCCTTCGGCTTCCGAAAAGGGGCGAACATGGCGATGGGCAGGATGAGGTGAAGAGGAGGAGGAGGGAAGGAGAAGAAGAAGAAGAGGAAAACGCGGAAAAAGGAAAAAAAAAAGGAAAAAGAAAAGAAAGGAAGGGAAAAAAAAAAAGAAGAACGAAAAAGAGGAGAGGAAAAAAAAGAAAAAAGGAAATTATAAGGGGGGAAAAAAATAGGAAAAGAGGGAAGGGGATGCAAGCGGCGCTGGCGCGGTGATTTCCTCCCCCCTCCACTCCCTCTTCCTCCTCCTCCTCTAAAAGGCAAAAAAAAAAAAAAAAGGAAGAAAAGCAGAAATAAGGCAGCAAAAAAAAAAAAAAAGAAAAAGAAAAAAGGAAAAAAAAAAAAGCCACCAACCCAGCAACCCACCAATTCCTTGTTTTTTCATGGAGAGCACAAACCCCAGGCCAGCGGAGGAGGACCGGGACTCCTCAGCGCGGAGACCTTTGCATCAAAATGGTAGAGCCTGAACACCCCCCCCCCTTTTCCCTTTTCTCCTCGCTTTTATTTCTCCCTTTCCTTTCCCCTTCCTTCCCCCGTCGCTTCCTCGCGCTCCCGGGGCTTTGCCGACTTCCCAAAGGCCTCGAAACTTGCCCAAATCCCGGCCGGGGCGGCGGAGGTGGATGCGGGAAGCGGGTGTGGGGGGGGAGTTGCATGGGCGATGCTGCATCCACGCGTGGGGGGAGCACTGGGGGAGGGGGGCGTGTGTTTTTTGGGGGCACAAAGAGCGCAGCCCACCCGGCAGCTGCACTGCCAGCAGCTTCGGGGAGGGTTGCGTGGGGTCCTCCCCTTGCGCGAGGGGAAAATGTGTTGTATTTGGTTAAAATGGCATTAAAAACGCCCCCCCTCCCCCGCCGCTTTGGGGTGGCTTGAGGGGGGATGAGGGGGTTTGGGGGGTGCAGAAGGGGCGTGAGGAGGGGTCTGATCCCCTCTTCCCCGCGAGGGGGTCCCCGCCCGTCTCAGCGCTCCCACCCGGGGGTCTCTGGAAGGATTTGGGGGACACACACACTTTTGGGGCCCCCAGGCCGGAGGATTCGCTGAGGGGAGGGGGGGGGGTGCAGAAGATGCCGCTTCCTCGGCCATTCCCATTCCCCGGATGACTCCATCATTTTGCCAATTCCTGCCCCCCCCCCCCCCCCCCCCCCCCCCCGCCATGGCTGGCTCCAGTCGTGGGCCCCCCCTTTTCCCGGGGGTCTGAGGGATATTGGGAGCACCCCGAAATCCCGGAGGAGCGAGGCCGCGGGGAGGGCGCAGCATCCCACCCCGCTGCGGGCCGGGAAAGGGATTTTCCATCCCTGCACTTAAAAAATAACGATAATAATAATAAAAACATCCGAGCCGGGGCTCTCGCCTGCGGCAGTGACCTATTTTATCGGCCGGCGGAGTTTTGGGGGGAGGTTACTCTGAGTTGCAGAGGGCAGGCCTGAGCTGGGAGGATCCACGGGAAATCCCCTGGGATGTGCCGTGACCACAGACCGCGGTTCCCGGTACCCTGGTGCCTCCCTCCCCATCCCTAAAAGTGCAGGGCTGTGATTGCCCCAGCGCTGGCTCCGTGCCCATCATAACACCCCGGGAAAGCGTCCGAGCAGCTTTTCGGGAAGGGGAAGAAAGTGCAAGCTTGGAAAAATAAGGAAACGGCGTTGGCTCAGCGCAGGAGATGATGGACGGGATGGTGGGATGGGGCTCGGCACCCCCTGACTCCGAGACTGGGGGTAAACCGGCTAGGATTGGGATTGGGAGTGGGATTGGAATTGGGATTGGGAGTGGGATTGGGATTGGGTTCGTGCTGGTCAGTCACACTCGACCTGCAAAATTCCTGCTGGCACGGAATCAGCTGCTGGAACTGCCCCTGCATCCCGTCTCCCAGAGGAGATGCTGATGGACCAGGGGACACGCAGGGGTGTTTTTGGGAGTGTTTCATTCCCTGAGGTGGGGAGGGAGATGCCCAGAGCCCACTCAAGCGAGCAACCCTGCGAGGAAGACAGGGAAAAGTTGGGAATTCAGCCTTTCCTTCCACACCCGGCCTCAGCAAGGACCAGAGGAAGATTTGCCTTACAGAGCAAAAATTCCTCCTTGGAAAGATAAAAGGATTTATTCTTTTTTATTTTGTTTTTCCCCTGGATCTGTGGCGAAATCTCGCTGGGTGCAAACATTCCGGCTCTGACCACGGAGTTTCCCAGAGGATGCAGGTTGGGATAAGCACCGCTCCGGGGCTTTTGCCGGGGTCCCCTTGGCTCCGCGGCGGAGCTTTGTTCTCCCTGTGAGGAATTAACGGCGTGTTGGGTCGTTACCAGGCGAGATAAACGGCCTTGTATTCCCGTCTCCCGTCTGCGGGAGAGGCTTGTCAGCCCCTCCACAAAAATAGCCCACTGCCGCCTCTGGAATTGGCTTCTTTGGAAAAGGGAGGGAGAAGCGGGGGGCTGCCTGCGAGTTGATTAAATATTGGTTATTTTTAAGATGCAGGTTTTTCTGCTGGAGGAAAAATGGGTGGGGGGGAGAGAACCTTTTGCAGATGAACCGAATGTGTCAAAACATCAGAGAGCCTTTGAAGGTTTTGGGGGAATCGCTGATTTTCCCACCCTCCCTCCGTGCTCTGGCTGGAGAAGGAAACTGAGGACTCTCCCACTTTGCTGCATTTAAGCCTTTACAGATGGGGACGTGCTGATGGCCATGACAAAGTGCTCTGGGAAGAGCAAGAGATGAAGTTTTTAATCTGCTGCCACGTTTGCCTGGCCCCAAAAATGGGGATGCCCGGATCCTCCACGTGTTTTGCATCCTGGATGTCCCCTGGCATCCCACGGGTCCCTGTAAGGCTGGAGGAGCTGGTGGGGAGGATGAGCTGAGGGTCAGGCTCTGTGCTTCCTAATCTTCCCTTTCTTATTTCTAAGGGGAATACGTTGTGTTGTGTTGCTGGAGTGGTTTGGGCAGGGCAGGGATGATTCTGTTGGGTTTCCCACATGGGGACACTGAGAACTTGTCCCCATATCCTTCGGGGCTGCTGTCCCCTCTTCAACCAACCTCGGAGTTCTTCCACCTCTCCTGGGATGGCCTTGGAATATGGGGAAAGACTGGCCATGGTAGTGCAGATATGATGGGTAAAGGACTTAATTACAATAAATTATCCCTTTTTTTGTTATTATTTTTACGATTCTATATTTTGCCTGGAGCCAAGGCTGCTGACACCCTGTCTGAGTTAAAGCTCTGCTCCCCGAGGTGCTGGATTTGCTGGAAAAATCATGATAAAAATGAGGCATTTTAAGGCATGTTCATAAAAAATGTTTAAAGTGTGAGGTAAGAAGGGCCTGGTGTGCCCAGATCCTTGATCTGGGCAACTGGATCTAATGGAATGTGCCTCTGCCCACGGCAGGGGGGTTGGAACGAGATAATCTTTAAGGTCCCATCCAACCCAAACCATTCTATGCCTGGACCAGAGGAGCACAAGTGGTGCTTCCCAAAGAGCCCCAGTCAAGGCTGGGTTTAGGAAAGAACCGGAGATGGGACCATCCCTGGAGTCAGTGCCAGGATTTGGAGAGGATGCTCCAGGATGGAAAGCCCTGCCTGGGATGTTGGGAGAGGTCCAAGGTTGAACAGTTTTGTGGTCTGGGGTTGGGTTGGAAAACGCTGTGCTTGTAGGTTTGCTGGGGCTGGGTGTGAGGCAAACCTTAGAAGTGACACATCCCACCTTCCTGTTCCCCCACCTGGAAGGTCGTGGTGGCTTCCACAGGGATGGGAACTGTGGTGCTGGGCAGGGGATGCTGCCGTCTGAGGAAAGCCTCATGGAGCAGTGCTTGGGAGGAGGTTCCATCCATCCATCCACCCATCCACCCATCCACCTTGCTTCCCGGGGACCTCACCCTCTTCCCGGCCATCGTGTGGCAGCACATGGAAGTGGTTCTGGCTCAGGGTTATGATGTCTCCAGGTTCTGCACAAGTGACACAGTGGCTGCCCCACTGCACCGTCCATGCTCCTGGCACCGAATTTGGGGGTCCTGGGAGTGGGTCTTATGACCCCCACGGGGGGATTCGAGCACCTCCTGCCCTGCTGCATCCACCCCCTCCCTCGCTGGCAGTGGGACATCCGTGGGGTCTGTGGGGCTGATTCCCTTCCCCGGCTCCCCCCGGGCTGGGCAGCGCTCGGAGCCGGCCCCTGGCGCAGCCGCTTGGCCGCCAGCCCGGCTGGGGAGGTCAGCGCTGGGTTTTGTCCTCGTTTCCTCCCTGGATCTTCCCTCCTCCTGTTTTTCCCGGGCAGGGGAGGGAGGGGGACAGTGGCTTTGCGTGTCTGCGGATCCCCCGGGCTCGTCCACCCGGGCAGTGGCTCCGCGGGAGGTCCCGCACCCCGCCGGCAGGAAGGCAGCAGCCCATCCCACCCCATCCCATCCCGCCGCCTTCTCCCGTGCCAGGGTGGCGGCTCGGGGACATCTCCATCAACCGGGTGTCACTGGCTGTGCCAGGCGCTGGCGGGGACCCCGCGGCCGGGCTGTCCTGTCTGCGTTTGCCAGGAGGACGCCTGCTCTACCCAAATCCAGCAGCGTCTCCTCGGGGTTTAACTCCAGACCCGGCTCCGGGCTTGGCGCAGCTCTGGAATTACCTGCAGAGCTTCTGCACCACGTGCTGGGTCTGGCTGAGCTGCCCAAAGAAACCCCTTTCAGCCCTGACCGAGGGGACAGGGACAGACAGACTGGTACATCCAGCCTGCTTTGGTGCCTTCCCAAGGGATTGGGATTTGTCCTGGGCTGGAAATGATGTGGCATTACTGAAGCCTCAGTATTTTTGCAGCACAGGCCGTGCCTGCAGAGGGGATGGTGCTTGACTTCACACGTGCTGGGATGGACTCCCAGGGCTTGGTATTGCCCTTGCTGTCACCCTTGGTGGGATAGAGGGATGGTGGCATCCCCCAGGAGCTGTGTCACCTCACTGGGCCGGTTTGGGGATGGGGGGTGATGGCAGGGTTGATGTCCATCCATCCTTGGAAATACCACTTTGGCTTTGCAGCTCTGTGTGTGAAAGAAAAGGAGAAAACCATCCAAAGAGGCTGGTGGGGTTTAAAAATTAAAAAAAACCCATAAAATAAATGAGAAAGCACCAAACCATTAACCCTCTGTGGGCTGTGCTGTCAGAAGCCAGTGTCTGCTCCCAGGGGAGCAAAGCCTTGTGTTGCTCATCCCAGCTCATCCCCCTGCTCATCCCAGCTCACCCCCCTGCTCTCCCCACGCTGCCAACAGGAGAGAGAAACCCAAATGAACCTTTCCCTCGTTTGCAGAGGTGTCCCCTTGGATGCAGATGGACAGGGATGGGACAGGGATTTGCCCCTGTTCCCTTGTGCTGAGGACAGTTGTGGTGGGCCTGGTGCTGCTGTGCCAACTTCCCAGGCTGCTCCTGGGAAAAGCTCGTTTGAGCCAAAGCCTGTAAACGCTGGGTATCATTAACAAAAAATTAAAACCAACAAGATGGGAGGGGAA